AATGTCATCAGTTTTCGTCGACTAAAACTAGACGAAAATAGTCATGGATAATTCTGACTAAAATAACACTAAAATGCTCAGACTTTTAGTTGACTAAAACTTGACTAGACTCAAAAGAGTATGAACGTGACTAAAACTAATAAAAACTAAAATGACAGCTTCACACAAAGACTAGACTAAAACTAAAATTAAAACAGGCCGCCAAAAACAACACTACTAGTAACGCATTTTACATTTTTGTAAACTAGTATGTATTCCAATAGTGACTAGTATCTTTTTAAATAGTACTTGTAAGTATTCATTAGATACAAGTTCTTATTTATTAAATACTTTTACTTTTGATTAGATAGTAGATTCTAGTAGTTATTCATTAGGCACTGGAACTTATTTATTAGACACTAGTATCTGTTGTAATGACTACTCGTAACAAATCTTATTATACTAGTCAAAAGTTTGTATTAGCTAAAGAATAAGCACTTGTAGCTAAAGGATAAGTACTAGTACTTAATGGAATAGATACTAGTAGATAACAAAATAAGTACTTGCATGAAAATAGATACTAGTACATTTAAGGATTAAAGTTAAAACGGCAAGGGTAGAGATGCTAGTTAGACACATTTAAGTTCACCCAAATGTGATATTGTGATAAAAGAAATCTAATATGATTGAGTTTAATATTTTAACAAGTATATGAAGATATATGATGCACACGTACTGAGTTCAAAAGTCACACCAGGACAGAACTGAAAGAAAAGTGTCTAAGTAAACCAAAATGTCTAATCATCAGCTCTGAAAAGGGTTATAAAAGAAAGTTGAACGCTTTTGTCATTCCTAGAATCTAAACATTAAACAGTAAATAGTCTCCGGTCTCAGAGGGACGTGAGTAATGTTTTCATTGTTCAGATGAGAACAATTGGAGGGCAAAGACAAATCTAAGTGGCACATTTCCCATAACGCACGGTTGTTTAAAGTTAAAGTAGACAGACACAACATACCGCTGTTCCTGTGTAAGATGAGAAACCCTGCTCATGTGATAAGGTGCAATTTAAAAAAAAGAAAGAACATTAAAAAATAAATAAATAAGCAGGAAATAGAAATATTTATTAAAAAAAATATTTAATAATAATAATAATAATAAAATAATAAAATAAATTTAAAAAAATGTTTTGAGCCAGCACTTTTGACTAATTCTAATTTGATAATGGTCTTTTTTTTGCTGGTTTTGAGGTTATAAATGTCTACATCTCTGAGAAAAATGTCGTCAATGAAATGAAATGAAATATCAAATTAAAAAATACATCAAGAAAATGTAAAAATAAAAACAAAATAAATTATAAAATAAAATGCAAAAACAAATAATAAAAAAATTAAAATAAAGTTTTGACAAATTGCAATTTGATAATGGTCATTTTTAGCTGGTTTTGAGGTTATAAATGTCAACATCTCAATCTAATGTTGGTTGTCAGAGAAAAATATTGTCAATTTGTCTCATTCATTGGTCCATAATTCAGGGCTGGCAGTAAAATGATAAAATAAGCATGGTCAGCAGAAAGCGGTCAGTGGAGCGATGCAGAGGTCGCTAACACCTCTGAGGTCAGTGACCCTGAGCAAGACTCTGTCCTCCTCTGAACACTCAAGAGCTCTTCATGTTCTTTATTCATAGTCAGAAAGACACAAAGACTAAGAAGTATTACGTTTCTTCTAATGATTTGTGAGCGACCTGCTTTGCTATAAAACAGTGAGCTCATGCAGCATAAAGGGCCGTTTCACAGCCACACAAATGTACATAAAGCTTCATTAAACACTTATTGCCTGGGGTCTCTATGTAAATATAAAATTAGATTAAAATTATAATAAAATAAAAATAGAAACAAAATGAATTTAAAATGATGGGGAAAACATTATAAAATAAAAATTTCTAAAACAAAAACGATGAAATATAAATATTAAATATAGAAATTGATTAAAAAAAATTAATGGAAACAAAAATTAAAATGAAAATTCTAACAAAAATGAAATAAAAATATAAAAAATTTAATTAGATTAAAAATATAATAAAATAAAAATACAATATATAAAATAAAAATGTATAAAACAAAAACGATAAAATAAAATAAAAAAAAATAAAAAGCTACAACGTTTGCCCTGCTAGTAGTTCCATAATTCTGCATGCAAAACTTTCCAGTCACCATGGCGCGTGCATGAACTTACGACAGTCTTGATGAACCCTTTTTGAATACTCTGTATATTCCTTTTTGAAATATGGAAGTATAACTTACAATTGAATTCAGAATTGATAGAGTTTGCAGCCAGCAAACTGTGGATGGTGATTTGATAGACGATGTGGATGAAGAGGAAGGTCATGCTGCAGAAGCATAAAGACTTCAGCAAGTGCCCCGTGTAGCCTGGAAGAGAAAAAGCAACAGGAACAAGCATCAAGGGTCAGTAATGATTTGTGTCTGACCTGGTGATGAACCACATTATCACAACTCATAGGGGATTTGCTGATACGATAATAATGAGTTCAAAGAAAGGCATTACACACATTATTGTGCCAATAATAGTAAAACCTGTATTAAATGTGTTAAATAAAGTTCATAGTCTTTCCTCCCTGTGACCCAATGAGAAGCTGCAACAGTTTACATTGAATTAAATGCCAGATATACATTATACCAATAATAACCAGAAAAAAAAGATTGTATACATATTGCAGGACTTTTAATTATAAACAAGCACGAAATACAGTGGGACTCTTATTTTGAAAAGTCTATGCTACTTCCAGCTGCTCATTTCAAAATATGAGGGAAATGAAAATTCTCTTACAATCATCTACAACATATTACAATTTAAACACAGTAATGTAAACCATAAATCATCAACAGTAGATCATAAGCAATTGCTTAAGCATAAATGCACAGCACCCACTGATTGCAAAAAAACACAAGACTGCAAAAAATAGCCATGTTTTGACTTTGATTTATTTAAATTAATCATTGCCTTCTGAAGTTTAATAATCCCATTAGGCCGTATTGCAATTCCTGTGTTTACATTCCTAAACTTATTACCTTTTGTTATGCAATTTAAGACTTTTTATGACCTTAAATTTCAACTGAATTAAAAACATTAAGACATTTTTTTTAAGGACTTGCAGGGATGCAACATTCAAAATTTATCACACCGGGGTTTCCAAAATGTTGAACAAACAAGTTTCAAGCCAAAAAAGCAACATTAAAAGCTCTTTATTTAAGATAGAACTAATGAAAATCACAATAAAGACACAAATGTGCACATGTTTAATACTTCACGTGTGTTTTTGTGCTATTTGAGATGACGCTAATGGAGTTTGTGTTGTTAATTTCCCTCAGCACAAGCATTCATTGTTGTTCTTACAAGACGAACAACAGCTAATCGTGAGAGCCTCTTTGTTTTAGCACTCTCATATAGCATAACACCAAGGTCAAATTAAGTATTAAAGTATTTTTAGAGTGTTTTTCTCTACCAACGATCAATATTTTCCGATGTGGTGCAGGCCTGAGCACGGCTGTGCAGCCCATCATATGTAATGCTTCCTAATGGAGATCATTTTAGCCACAAGTGAGACATAATCGTAAGAAACCAGACGGTGAGAAGCGCTGCCAGATGCTAACTGCTAGATCTGTCCTGAGCAGGGGATATGGCTTGTCCTGATTTACTCTATAAAACACAGTGTGCAAATCAATTTGAGCTAATTTCCCCCTAACAGGAGGAAGGGGTTGTTAATGCGTAGTTTAGTGAGCACCGCGGGTGCAGATCTCTGCCAAAACACTCATTCACGTCACATATTTCATCCCTATCAAATAAAAACCATGCATGAGGAGGACAACGAGATGAAAAGCGCTAACTGCATCTCTCCTGACCGCCGTAAACTTTCTATTGACTGTAAAGTTTTTGCCACCTCTGCCTGTTTACATGGCCAAAAACTAATGCTTGTGGTGTAAATCAGTGAGATCTTTATAACAGTATAGCAGATACTTACATAAAATTAATAAATATCAGTCGTCACTCTATATCTCCAATAATATCAGTAAGATGATATTTAAATGCTTTGTTTGATGATCAAATCATAATGCAATGCAATCCAATGATGATTGAGAGATGAACAAATAAATTTATAACAGTATAGCAGATACTTACATAAAATTAATAAATATCAGTCGTCACTCTATATCTCCAATAATATTAGTAAGATGATATTTAAATGCTTTGTTTGATGATCAAATCATAATGCAATGCAATCCAATGATGATTGAGAGATGGAACAAATAAACGCTCCTCAAACGCTTGATGATCATATTTGAGACTCACATTTGAACAGAATTGTATGGTTAATCAAGTAAAGCCAAGCTGTATTAGTCCAGTAAGTGTTCATCTTGAAATATCACTAACAATATCAAATATATTCTTACATTTACTTTATAAACAATCAGAGCTGTGAGATTTGCAACACATGAATTCATCCTCTCCTCCCGAAAAACATTAAAGGGATTGTTCACTCAAAAATGAAAATTACCCCATAATTTACTCTGAAACCATCCTAGGTGTATATGACTTTCTTCTTTCAGACGAATACAATCTGAGTTATATAAAAAAAATGTCCTGCTCTTCCAAGCTTTATAATGCCAGTGAATGGGGGTCCAGATTTTGAAGCCCAAAAAAGTGCATCCATCCATCTTAAGAAGTGCTCCAAACGGGTTCGGGGGGTTAATAGAGGTCATTCTGAAGTGAAGCGATGCCTCTGTGTAAAAAAAAAATATCCATATTTACAACTTTATAAACCGTAATCTCTAGCTTCCTTCAAGAGCATTTGGGGGCATGTAGAAATATCAAGATCATTGCTAAAAGCATCTGTCAAATTTGCACATGTACTGTACCGTATAACAATCACCTTCTAAAACAGTGATTGAACAGAGGTGCAGTTTTGATATCATCTGTATACTGGGTTAAAACACTAGAATATAGAAGGAAAACAGGTTCATTTTGAGATTATGGTTATTATTTTGTCATATACAGTATTAGGGTCTGTGGGACCCTAAATATACAGAGCTTTATCATTATGGGACAAGTGTCAGAAGAAGATGAATCAAGACAAGATAAATATGACAAACACAATCCCCCTTATCTATATTCCCAGCGCATGCAATGGTGTACGCTTAAAGGGTTAGTTAACCCCAAAATGAAAATTCTGTCATTAATTACTCACCCTCATGTCGTTCCAAACCCGTAAGACCTTTGTTAGGAACGGCCGGAGGGTTAGAGTGAGCAGAGGCGCAAGCTTGAGAACGGCGCGGCCGGCGATTTCGACGAAGGAGGACATGTGACGACTCCGGGCTGGACTCCGCTTCGTCCACGGTGAAAGCCGATCCGGCGATCCAC